AGGACTCTTGTGTCCTTTCCAGCAGAGCTCCTCCTCAGCCTCTACTGTCCATCCCAGATGCAGGACTTTGCACTTTTCTGTGCTGAATTACGTGGCCTATTCTTACAGTCTGTCTAGGTCCCTCTGAATGTCAGCCCTGCCCTCAAGCATGACAGCTCGTTTCGATGTCATCTGCAAGCTTAATCCAGCAGCTTTCAGTGTCTTCCTCCTGATCATTGATAAAGATACTGAGCAGGACATGTTCCATGATAGGTTCCCTGAGGAACCCCACCTGAAACTAGTGTTTAAGTAAAGTGAAAACCATTAACCAATGCCTTTTGAACCTGATGATCTGTCCAGTTTTTCTACCTCCCCAGTAGTCCCTGTCTAAATTATGTCTCAATTTGGATACAAGGATGCTGTGGGAAATTGTATCAGGTGCCTCGTTAAAGTCAAAGTCAATGAGGTTCAATATTTTCCCCTCCTCCACAAATGGAGTCGTTTCATCACAGAAAGTGGTCAGGTTGGTCAAGCATGGCTTTTCCTTGGTGAATCCATACTGGGTTTTCCCAGGCGCTTTCTCTTTCTTCTTGTGCCTCTAAATTACTTCCAATAGGATTTGCTCCGTGATTTTCCCAGGGAAAAAGTGAGATAGACCAATGTGTAGTTCCCCAGGTCTTGTCTTTTTTTTTTTTTTTAAGATGGCTGCAGTATTTGTGTTTATTTGGTTGTTGGAGACTTCCCCTGATCTCCACAACTTTTGAAATAACAAAGAACATCCTCGCAGTGTCATCAGACAGTGTCAGCACCTTCCTGCAGATCCTGTCTGGTTCCCCTGGGACTTCTATAAGCTGAAATTTCTTAAGAGATCTCTGGCTTAATCCTCTTCCAGTACTGGTATTTTCTCTCCTCCTTGAACTCCTTAAGTACAGAGGACCGCAAGACCTTGCCAGTGAAGTCAGTGCCTTATCTGCATCCACTGTTGGTAAATCACCTGACCTGTTCGGCAGCTGGTGCACATTTTCATTGTTTATTCTTTTATTGTGGTGGTAGAAGCTCTTCTTGTTGCCTATAGCATCCTGTACTGGTTTCAACAGCAGGTTAGCTTGGCCTTTCTTAACACCACCCCTACATGTCCAGGCAGTCCCCCCTTAGCTACTTGTTTCTGCATGCACCTCCTCTGTACTGTTTTTTTCACATTGTCTTTCAGTCATATCTTCCCTGCTTAGCTAGTGTCCATGTCCTCCTACATCTGCCTGTTTTCCTGGATGTTGTCCTTGCAGGAGGTTGTCCTGAAAGACTTACTACCTCTGCTGAGCTCCATTTCCCTTCAAAACTGCCTCTCAGGGGATCCCACAAACCAGTTCCCTGAAGAAGCTGAAGTCTGGTCTCTGGCTCTGTACTCTTTCTCTCTATCCTCAGGATCCTGAGCTCAGTTATTTCGTAGTTACCACAGTAAAGATTGCCACTGATTATCATATCTTCAGTCAGTTCTCCCTCGTCTGTGAGTAGCAAATCCAGAAAAGCATCACGCTTCACTGACCGCATAGGGTTTTCGAAGCCTGGGGTCCCATCTCCTTCGCCTTGCCCCTAGAGCTCTGTCGTCCTGATCTGCAGTAGGCAATTTCTTTGGTGCCCACGTGTATGTGCAGCAATGGGTAGTGGTCCAAGGAGCGCAAAATCATAGGCAGTCTCTCAGCAGTGTAATGGATCGAGGCCCCTCAAAATACAGAAACCTGTTGTAATAGCATGACGGTTTAGCAGCTTTGTGACTTTGTCCTTCCCAGGAGAGATTCTCCAACCACGATCACCCACCACTTCTTTTACTTTCTGCCAATACTCTGTTCAAGCTCAGTTAGTTTCAAAGCTTTCCTTAATGGAGCTTGTTCTCCCTCATTGGCTATTAGGAAACTTTATCAGTTCTGTAAAGTCAGATGTGAGGGCAGAAGCAGTGGTTCTGCTGCTGCAAGAAGTCACAGATTTCTAGCGTCCCCCGTCTTGGGACTCTCCATCAACCTCTTGCTCAAGCATAGCCTCTGACTGTCCCTTCTGCCTTGCATCATGAAGCTCAGGATCTTGCTTCTGCAAGGTCTTTGTGAAGACCTTCTTAGTTCTTGGTCATTCTTCCTGATTTTTTTAAGTCTGCTCATCTGGGATAGTTTGTCCACCTAGCATTGCTATGCAGTGCATGAATTAAAAAACCTCGTGGAAATAACATTTTCAAACAGTTCATCTCCTCATTCCCTAGCCTTAATAATAAAGACTTACTGCATGCACCAGGTTTAAGTGTGTTACCCTCTGATACGATAAATACTGATGCAGGAGGTTAAAGGATGGTGGAGTTAAGAAAGAAAAATGAAGTTCCAGAAGTTTTTTTCCCTTTAGGAAAAACGCTCATGTATTGTTCCAGTGTTGACTAGTGCTGTGCGCTGGTCGCAAGTCTTGTGTCCTTTTGTATTGCTGCATCTGTTCTTCACTCTGATGCTCAAACCCTTTATTTTTACTTTTTGGCCAGCTGCAGTATGATGAATGCTGCATGAGATACAAATTGCTGCCCTTCCCTTTGAGGCACACAATGTAAAATAATCAGGAGGAAATCAAGACAGAAAGTAGAAGGGTGAATATGGTTGCTGCAGCTGGAATTGTACAGAGATAAATCTGCAAATAAGATGCAAACCAGAAAACTTTCATACCAATAGCCAAACAGCTTAAGGGGGTGAACTTAAAAGCAAAATGTAAGTTAATTCAGGAGATCTCTAGGCTTACCTGTGCACCAGAAGATTTTGGGGGACTACAGAATAGAACCAAGGGTGGAACTGAAGAGTTAAAAAACAAGGAAGATCTTCTAGGCAGTACTATCTTTTCTTTTGCATTTTTTTTTGTTTGAGCCTGAAAATGTTACAGGATAGACAGAGAGATGATTGTGGAGACGAATGACTCTGAGTATAAAGGAAGTTTAGACTTTAAATGCATTTTAAGGATGGATTTAGCTATGAAATAAAAAGCTTGGGAAGGCCCTGCAGTGCTGTAACCCCATTAGTCACAGTGGAAGAGGTAAAAGGGCTTGTTAAAAAAATAAATACACATGGAAAAGGGGTGACAGAAGGGTGAAAGCAGCAGCTGCACCCTGGAGGGAGCAGGCAAGCTGGAGAAATAGGTTGCAAAAGAGAGAAGACAATTTTTGTTGTGACTGCCCACCATCTAAATTCCCCCTCTTCTTATCTGTATTAGCTCAATGTCGCGTTGACCCTCCCTCTAGCAAGCAGTGTGAGGGGGGGAGGCTTCCACACTTGTCAGTATTGGTTCTTCAGTCAGACGAGGAGGATGCACTGATATGACACTAGTTATTTTACTTGTATGTGGGTCAAAATAAAATCTGGCAGCAAAGCTTTTTAGAGACTGGGTGAGTCCTCCCCTCTTGTGTGATCTTATTGTACAGAGTCTGCGAGGTGGTTTGTTTTCCTTATGCTACTGTACAGTGCGTGGCAGAAAAGGAGAAGCCTAATTCTGGTAGAAATCAAAGCCTAGAAACTTCACCTCCTCACTTCTGAGCCTGAGTGAAGGCTCATTGTGTGCACCAGTTTTGTTACCCTCTCATCTAATAGAAAAGTGAGTTCACTTTTTCTGCCTTAAAATGCTTGCAATCACTTTTTCCCCTCCGTATCTAAACCAGACCTCCCTGGTACTGGAGTCTCATGCCTAAGTGGATTTTACTGAAGTGCTGTGCCAGTACATGACGGTTCTCGTGTCGTCTTCCTGATGCAAGAAAAAAAAGTAAATCTTTAAATACGAAAGTTAATCAATTTTTCTTTTACTCCAAGTGGCTGTTTCGCAAGCTAATTAAAATAATTCAGATGACTGAAAAAGATTTAAATTGACTTAGGATCGCAGTTCAGAAAAAAATGAAACGTGGAAGGACTTTTTGGGGTTAAGCCAGCATCCTAGCATGCGAGAGTTGAATTCAGCTGTCACTGTGTTACAGATTTGCTTCATAACTTTGAGAAATGCCTTCACCTTTCTGCAAAATGTCAGTTTTAATGGCCCATTCTCACACTTTTGACTTGTGCATTAAAGCGAAATATGTTCTTGCACTCAAAGGGTTCCTGTAGGTTTAGGAATCCATCCCTGAGGTTGAAATGCTGGACTCTGTAAGTTGATGTACAGGGCTTATTCCCAGTGATGTGATCCTATCCGAGTTCTTCCCTGCACCTCCCCATGCTCACGGCTCCTTTGTGCCAGCACCAGTGTTTGTGCAGCCACATGTTCGTGTGATGAGGAGAGTGACTTAAATGAAAATTTAAGTAGGTAGGTGGATAGGTAGGTAGATGGATTTACTGAGCATTTTCTAGGCACGTCAACACAACATGTTGATTTTAAAGTTCACACAGGTACATTTATCTTTTCCCTGACATGATCTTTATACTGCTTTATCTCATTTTTATATTTGTGTTATAAGCAAGTTTCAACTTCCTTTAATGTAAAGCAGGAAACCAGAAAGGGGAGGATGAAGCTCTGCATTTTTTGACGCACACAAAGATAGAGCTTGTGTGTTTGAAGTGCCTCCTTTCTCCAGAATGTTTGCATGCCTTTAAAAGTGGTTGCTGGGTGTTTCTGTAGCCTTCATGGTAGGTGCAGTCATGTGATGGCAAAGCATGGCCTCATTGAGAAGAACTGGCAATTAGAGTAAGCCCAAGGCATTATGTCACAAAAAAAGTTGAATTCTGTTGTGAAGTAACTTGCTGCTGTTAGACCAAGGCTATGTCCCACTGAGGCCAGCAATTTTGCTGCAGTAGATGTAACGTTTGTCACAGATCTGACCAGTTGCCGTAAGAAGTCATTTCATGTTTCATGTGACATTTGCAATGATGTGTTGCTCTGAAATTGTGTTAGAATTAAAATTTTATCCAAAATATTGTCTAAAGTTGAGTTCTCCGAGAGTCTTTCCAGGGATTCTTCTTCTTAATGTTTTGCAGTATAGATGAATAATTTTGTAATAGCTTTCTCTTATATCTGATTTTCAGAAGGCACCATCAATCAAGAAATTACCTGTCCTGGTTCACTCTGGATTAGTGGCTGTTTATGGCACAGTTGTTTTGAATCAGATAGTTCTCTTTTTGGGAACAGATGATGGACAGTTACTGAAGGTAAGCTGAGCGTGGCAATTCTTCTCTTCTCCATGAGCTTCTGCTCTGTTCAAGTGGGTAAATGTTTCCTGGTTTAGGCACTGCATTATAAACAGATGTAAGCCCTTGAATGTCTATTTCTTTTTTTGTCTGTTTGTGAAGTAACTGCCATATACTTGCCAAGTAACTTGCTACTTGGAGAGTACAATAACTTTCAAAAGGAATTATATACCCTGTTTAAAATTTATAGCAACATTTCATTAAGCTGCTAATGACATCAGTATCAATTTATGGACTGTGGAGTTCTCAGTTACTCTGTCTTCTGCTTCTTTCCTTGCTTTCATTTTCCAGTAGAAATGTTGAATCTTGTTAGATTTTAGAAGCATATTTACTCGTTTGTTAGTCAATTTGTGTGATGTGAATAGCTGTCCATTAGAGATAAAAGCCAAGATTCATTTTGCCTTAGCTTCTGAATAGTCAGCCTACTCTAGCTTAAATCAAACACTTGGACGTGAAAGTCGTCTTATCTCATTATCAAACTTTTCAACCATCCAGTCAAATATCTTTTATACTTTTAGATTTTTTCTGGGTTTTGCAAGAATGTGTATTTCCTGTCTACAGTGCAAAGGATGTCTCTCATTTTTTGTTTTTATTAAGCAGGCAGTTGGAGAGGAAAATAGTAGAGAGCTTGAAAAGCTTTTGCTCGTTTGATTTCACTGTGCTTTTGATAATGAAAAATGAAATTGAAGTCATCCGTGTCTCCTTACAACAGTGAAGACCATACGCATATCTCCCTTGTTTAGTCAGGTTTATAGAAAACCTTGTATCAATGTTGGTGTGCTTACTAACTTGCAAAATAAAGTTCCTATGGTCTCTGGTTCTCTGAATTTCTGTAGTGGAAAACTGTAGAGCGGGACAAGGTTAGAAAAAGAAATACCACCTCAGATGTGAACTCACAGAAGCCATAAAGAAACTTCTGTCCTGAAGACAGTTGCCAGTAACTTGCATAGATTCCTTTTTACGTTGTGGTTATCTGGCTGTTAATATTTTTTTCTGAAAGCTAATATTTTCTTCTCCATTCATAGGAGTATATAACCCATTATGACTTTGGGATACAGCCACCTCTTCTGTGTTTGGTTTCTGTGTCAAACAGGAACGTATGTGGTGGGAGGAATGTTTCATACACTAAACCGTTGTCACAGTCAGTGCAAAATGTGTCTGGCCTGGATTTTGCTGAAATTCTGTTCTGGTGGTCTTTTCCTCCATCTTTCAGCAGTGTGAGAGCCAGTGCAATAGGTGAATTGAATCGGGGCACAGGAAATAATCTCAAATGCTCTGATCTAGCTGAAATTAGGCTTTTGTTTAAAATGCTAGCTGATCAATAAAAGGACTTGTGAATAATTTAATTTTATGTGTTGTAGGCTATTCTTAATGAGGATATGGAATCTAATTGCCCGGAGGTTTTGTATGAAATTAAGGAAGAAACCTCTATTTTCCCCAAACTTCGACTTGATCCAGTAGATAATAACTACATCTATCTGTCCTCTGCTAATAAGGTAAGCACAATACTAAATAAAATAATAAATTCAAGAAAACTACCGCTTTAAGGATTTCTGCCATTTTGTAAGTGAAACATTGGTTTGGGTCAGAGTTAGACTTTAAATATCCAAACCACATTTACCAACTTACATCTAATATCTGGTTATGTTGTCTATATTTGGGCTGCACTGCTGCAGAGCTGTGCTGTGTTGCTGTGAACCAGCAACACCCTTAATCACGTGCTTATTTTGCATCATTCTGTCAAGAGAGTCTTTGCTTCTCTTTTTCCTGGAGGCATCATGCAGCATCACACTTGGAGGTAGCAAACAGAGCTTGTAGACTCTTTGGACGTGGAGTTCCTCTGAATTAGCAGTCCAGGTATTGGTAGGCCAGGGTTTGCTAGTAAATTATGCAGTTTCTAATGCAGAGAAATCTCTTAATTTGAGAGGTGGGCTTGAAATCTCAGTTCTGCTGAAATCAAGGATAAAATTCTCTAGTCTTCACTTAGGCATAGACTTTAAAAAAACCCACAATTAAACAGTCAGAACTGATTTACACATGTGCATAGTGGAGCCAAGGAATCACTGCGTGTGAGCAAACATGTCAGAGCTGCACAGCGAGCAGCAAGCGGCTCCCAGGAGCCAGTGCAGTTGTGGCAACACGTTGTGCAAGCAGGGCTACTGAGCATCAACTCAGCAAATCCCTTTGTCTTGCCAGCAGTGGGGAAGTTGGCAGTGAAAATGTGAGGACTGCCTTGTCCCTGTTGGCTGGACAGAATTTCACCCAGCACCTGATTACTTTCATTTACAATAAAATCACTTTTCCAGCAGTGGACATTTTAGCCTGCCATCTGAGGGAGTGGGTAAGTCGGTAGGAGAACCCTTGACTGATCTAAGCCAGCTATCAAATGCAGAACACCTGACTGATACTAGCCATCTATCAAATGCAGAAAATCAAGATTTCAGTCAACAGTATATGTAGATAGTCAAAGGAAAGACTTGAATTTTCTTCAGCTTTAAAAGAGCAAGTTGTTACTGAAGAACAACAGCTTTTAGTAATAGTTGCCTCTCTCTCATCATCTCTTGGAGCTTAAATAAGGCTTCTACACTCTTTTAACTTGCTAGTAATCTGTGATGTTGGCTGTTTTCTGAACTGATTATATCACATACCTTCAGAGAAATCAAGTTTTACAAGATATGGCTGGAAAAAACATGAAATGTAGTTTTTCAGGAAGCCGTGTATCCTTGTTTCTGTTTAGAAAATATAGGAACTTCTAAGTCTTGCAAATTTGTGAAAAAATGTTTGAATTAGGAATTTTTTTCTCACTGATACTATTAATTAACGTTGTTTTTGATAACGGTATTTGTATTTGTATTCAGTATTTGTAATCAGCTTTCTCTTTTTCTTTTTCCTTTCCTTTTCTGAAAATGGCTGGCTAGGATATTCAAGCTGAATGTACAAGTATAGCTGCATACAATATAGCCACAATTACCTACATTTCCTTTTTGAAATGGCATTTTCATGCATGCTAAGTAGTTGCATGCGTTTGTTCTAGTGTGCACATGCAGTAACCTGACCTGGTAATGCAAACACAGATGCATTTTGTTTTGCGCATGCATTTTGAGATGCACTTTCATCAATCATTTAAAAATCTCAGTTGTCATGGTAGGAAAATGGTGTTCTGCTCAGCAGAGCATTATTTGTAAAATATACCTCCTTTCTACTGTTGTCTGTAATTTACTATGCTGATCAGTCTTCTTGCATTAATCTGTCCATGCTGGCCTTTGAGTAGTAGAACCACATTGTGGTTGTCAGAGGCGTTTCATCGTCTGGTGGCAAAATACAGCGTGTGTAAAATAGGCTGCCTATTTCTATCCAAAGGTCTTCTGGCAGAGGGGAGTTCATAAGGAAACTTCCCCAAAGGGATTGTGCTTGGTTGCTGTCAGATTTTTAATGGTAATGCTCAATTTCCCTGTTTATGGAGGCTGTTTTGATTCAGTGTGCTACTGCATTCTTTGGTTTCAGGTGAGAAGAATACCAGTTGCAAACTGTGGTAGATATGTTTCTGAGCAAGAGTGCTTATCTGCAAAGGATCCCTACTGTGGGTGGTGTTCTTGGAATCGAAGGTATATTTTGGTATTTTAGACTTTCACGTAAAAGCAGTGCATTATCAGTGTGCATTTTGACTGGCTTGGGGCTATTCAGCATCAAGACTGTATCTACTGAATTTTCATTGGATCAGTCATAGCCATAGATGTGAAACACTTTATTGCTGTAATCTAGATATGATAGAATCATATTATTGCTGTGTGAAAGGCAGCTCTGCACCTTTTAAAGACCACGTTAACCCTCAGATTTTTGTGATCTACCTATAAAATATATGTTGGAATAATGAGAAAAAAATATTTTAGGCTTAGAACAGATGTTTTTGCTTTCCAAATTGATTGAGACATAAATTTGTATACTCGTGCCTGAAGCATCTGAATGCTGGGAGCATCTTGCATGTGAGAATGGGGAAAGAGAGCTCAGTTGTCTTTAATACTCATAGTTCCTTGCTTTGGAACCACTGCCTGTGGTTTAGGCCAGAGGAGAATTGCTTTCTAAACACTTCATCCCCACATTCGAGAGTCATTAGTTTTGCTGCTTTCTTTGAAGCAGGTTTGAAAGCTGTTGTACGTCTTTGGTCTGGACTGGAGAAATTCCTGGGTCATCAAACCTAGCCTTGGCAAGCGCAAGCAACTGCATCATGTAAACCTACTCATAAACTGATCAAGGACCGTCCTAAAATTAGATAGCCTTTTTGTCTTCCCTGCCCTGGTTGTGCGTGAAGTTTATGCATCCTTTTAAAATAAGGATGGCCAGGGCTGTCACAGTATTCCAGAAGAGATTTAAACTGTGCCTTGCTCAGTGAGGTTTAATCGGTCTGTCCAGGAAGCACCTTATTTAGTGTGTCCCAAGACACATGTCTTTTTCATGACAGCATCACATTGATGGGTCACAATCGTCCAAGATCAGATAATGCCCCCAGGTCCTTCTCTTTCTTTGTTTTCTTTCCAGCTGATGAGTTTCCAGTCTAAAACACATATGGGTTGTGAGTTTTCTATTGCTCTAGGTACGTGGTCTTGTACTTTATGCTTTGAAATGTCATCTCATTTCAAGATTATCTAAGTTTTCCTGTGTGATACCGTCATCTTCCTCTGCATGGTAATGCACCCAACTTGTTATAATCAGCAGATGCTGACAGTGTAAACCTCCTTTTATGCCAGTTTATCCGTAATTAAAACATTAAACAAAAGTAGTTATAAGATTGATCTTTGAGGAATTCCACTAATAGCCTGCTTTCAGAAGGTTAATACTACTCTTTTTGCTTTATTTCAACATGAGAGTGATTTTGCTGAAGACCTTATACTTTGTGTTTGCGAAGTTAGTTATTAGAAGAGAGTAGATGTTTATTCTGTAATGTACTTTCTTCTACCTCTCTTTTGCTAACATGTTAGAAACTGTGTATGTTACAGTACTAAGCTTTTCATGCTTTTAGTTACCATATAAAGAATTTGTGAATAACAGTTATTAGTCAGTGAATCCCCTGTTTATCAGGGGAATCACCAGAAGTTTCCATCTGATTGAAACAGAAGTAATTTACTCTTTTGGAGAAAAGTGAATTACCATAATATGAGTCTTGTTCAACACCCACATAATTTTTCACTGCTCAACGCTTAGCATCATCTAATATTTGGTTTTGCAAAGAGAGGAATCCAAGTAAAGCTTTAGAAAAAGAGAACGACATGTTTTTAGCATTTTAAACAAAGTCCATAAATATCCACTAAAGCAATATATTCTGTAAGAATGTTGAGATCAATAATATGCTTTATTCTCTTACTGGGAAATACATTTTATATTAAATAGGCACTCAATTTTTAAATAAAATTTTCCAGCAGTGTGTCATTTTAAGACAGTTTAGTGAAAAAATCTGTACATCTTATTGCAAGTGAAAACAAAATGAAACAAAATATTTCTGCTGTTCCTGTTTCTGCTCTTTCTTCCATAGGGACAAATACAAAAATTCTCCTTTTCAGTTAGAGTAATTCAAAACAATTAGTCATAGCATTGTGTGATTTCTCTCAATGTTAATAGATTTTCTATAGATGAATCAGATTTACATGAAGTCTGCTGAAATAATTCCAATACAAGGCACTGATTTTTTTACATGTATTTTCCATATGGAAATAACACAGTGTGTTGTAGTTATCTGACATGACCAGACTCCCGTTTGGATTTGGTCAGTATGTGTGACATCTGTGGACTTCATTTGGGAGCTGGTACCTTGGAAAAAGAGGCCAAAGCTTTCTCTGAAACCACGTTCTCATTCCATGAAGAAATCAGTATCCTTTAGCAAGGCAGGGCAGGCAAACTCGGTGAGATTGGTAGTTAATACAAGATTAGTGGAGCAGGGACCAAAATAAATATGAGTGAACTGGCGTGCATAGGTATTATTTTATCATAACGAAATACGAGGAACCCAACTCCGATTGTGAAGAGGAATCTTTAGTAGTAGAAAGAACTAGCTTGCTATGGAAGATTGAAAAGAAATTGACTCTGCTTTTCCCTGTACACATATCTATACATGGCTGAAATCTGATCCTAGAATTTCATGCCTTTTACTTCATACCTGTGTAGGGTCCAGTCCAGTTCACACTTCCAAGAAAGCCAGCCATTGTAGTTGTCTGAGTATGTACGTTAATTTTCCTAACCATGTGGTCCACAAATAATATTTACCTGTCATATTCTTTCATGTGTGCTTGCAGACAATATCGGTTTCTAAAAGTAGGAATATAACAAAATAACCTCATCTATAGCTGAGTGGAATTCGTGTTGCTCTTGACCTGTGCAGGGCAATTGTGCTGAGGGGCATCTGATGCTCTACTGCACCCTTCACGACTGCTTCCTACAAAGTGACCGTTCTCCATAGCACGTCATTTGAATGTTAAAGGTCAGCTTTTAGAGCAACCAAAGACACATTTTTCCTGCTGTGGAAAGAAGCACAACCCTGAGTCCTGGGTGGCATTACTTATTTTGCCATTAAACTCTTAGGTTGTTCATTACAGATGACAGAAACAAGTTCACTGCTTGTATTTCTCAGGCAATCTGTGAAGGAAAATAAATTTGTCCTAGGACAGTTTTAAATATTCAGCTTTATGAACACTTGGGTTTTTTAACATTTTAATATTAGTGTCACTGAAATGCATGCAGAATCACAGAATCACAGAGTTGTTGAGGCTGGAAAAGACCTCTGATATCATCAAGTCCAACCTATGACCCAACACCATCACATCAGGTAGACCGCGGCACTAAGTGCCACATCCAGCCTGTCCTTAAACACCTCCAGGAACGGTGACAGGGAAGAGCTTTTTTCTCTCCATTGAATGTAGAGGGAACTTGTAGGGGTCAGATCTATGGCTGTACAATGGAGCAATCAAGTTGGGGTTGATGAAGTCCATCACAGGCTACGAAGTCCGCTGTTACTGGCAGAACACTTAGTGTTTGCTTGAGTCCCATTGGCTTAATCAGGACCCTAGAGCGTATATCAATGCACTGTAATTTATTTTGATAAGCAGAAGATTTTGTCAATTGTTTTCCTCAAGCTTTTTGCAGTTATAACCATATTCCTGTAAAAAATCAATAGTGTTCCTGTAAGAAATCAATGACATTAAACAATTTGAAGTACAGTATCTGAAGTCAAAGCCATGATAAGGAGGCTAGTATAATTTTATGTATACTTTTAGGTGCACATTAAAAGAAAATTGTTCAAACAGCAAAAAGGGTTGGTTTAACATTTCACGTGCACCTGATAAAGATCTGAAAATCCTGCTAAGTTTCCCTGCCAAAAATCAGGTAAGTACACCCAGTTTTATGCATGTTTGTTTGTTGTGACTTAAAATGTGTTGTTTTGTTGCTTATTGCAGCTTCCCTTCTTTTGTCACCATGTCCCATATATTAGTCCCTCTTACCTCAACAATTGGCAAATGTATTGGAAATCTCAGTAAGCTAAATGTGTCAATCAGATAGATGTTCTCTTCCTCTCCTATAAAATGTATCCTGGAGCTATACTTCATGATGTTGAGTTAAAAAATCACTGTGCTGACAAAGACAACGTTTCCGTTGTATCACTTCATCAGCTATTTTAATATTTCCAGTGACTGTATATCAAGTGCATTATGTAAGTTCTGAGCTTTGTAACAAGTTGCAAAGCATTCACTGGGACACATATGCTAACACAAATGCGTCTTTAAGTGTTTGATATTAGTATTTATTCAGTATCTGTTCACAGCTCAGACAGCCTTGAGTATTTGATTATCAAGTATTGTGACTGGCCACTTAATCTGCATGCTATTGTTTCTGGTTTCCTGATTGAATGCACTAATATGATTGTATTTGTAAAGTGCTCTCAGCCAGAAACAAAGGATAATTCATTATAAGACAAATTCTGTTTCATAATTAAGTGCACTTTGGTTATGGATGCAAACGCTGTATCTCTGAGGATTTGTACATACTTGGTCAAATATTTTTTATGGGGATGTAACAGAATATAACGCTGTTATAGCAAAATTCTTGTTTTAAAATCCAAAATTATTCCAGATTACTCCCCTGACGTACCTTAGAGATCCATTTAATTTCTGGGAGTGAGCAATGCTCTTCCTTTCAGGACTCTTTCTCTATTTTTTCTTCAGTAGAGAGAGGCTCTCTCCTGTGAGAGACTACCAAGTGGGTTGTCTGCTTCTGCCACAAAAGTTTTCATTTTCTACATTTCATAGTTTGTAGTGTTCTGTAAAGGCAAGGTATTATACAAGAAATCTGTTGTATTCTTGTTTTTATTGTTTTGTAGGTTGCTGTGGCTGCAAACGTAAGCAAAGTCCTTACTTCCTGTATGATAAAAGTTGTAACACCTGTTGAAGTATTTTATGAAAATGTAGTGCTGAAAAACTCATCCTGTTTCTGCAATTTAACCACTCCAGTTGTAACTGATAATGGTATGTTTTACTCTTACGTGTGTTTAATGCTTATTCACTGTCTTTTATTACTGAGGAGAACTGAGCATGAATACAGCCTAATGAGCACGAGAGTGGGTAATGTTTTTTCTTAAATGTCAATGCAAAAAAAATTATTCATATTTTGTCAAGCGATTTGAGTATATTCATACTATTTACATTGTGCCATTAATGACTGTCTAAGGAAACTTAAGATAGCTGCAGTGGCCATCAAGCTGGCTGGTTGGTCCAGTGCTCTGCCTTGACAAATTAACTCATTTTAACCTTTCTCTGATCTGCAAACAGAATTTGTTTTTGCAGAAAACTGTACTGCCATAAGTAGGAGGAGAATCTGACTATGAATGTCCGTACAATAAGTAATCTTAAGACTCAATTAACTGTTTCAACCTAACTTAGACACTTGCAGGAAAGTGATTGTCCCATGTAGAGAGGATTAGCAAAAAAATACATGGTTCAGGGGCAATTTGGCTGGTTCATTTTCTTGACTCGATTACATTCATCTTCCTGAGTTATTGGCTGAATCATTTTGCAATAATTCTTATACTACTTTGTTCACCAGTAGTTCTCATAATTAGAGACCTGAGCCATTTGAACACTTGATGCATGTGATCTGTTTTGTGCATCTTATGAGCACCTAGAAGTTTTAGAATGAGGTGGTAAATTACTGAATGTCTAGACTTTTGAGCTGTTCTCTAGGCTTTGGTCTCAAAGATCAAATGATTATCCTTCACAGTAGAGCTCTGTTTGACTAAGAGGAGGGAAGATTCCCCTTTGCATAGTTTCAAGGGTCTGTGTAGAAGCACAAAGCTTTTTTAATACAGGTTGACCTTGTACTGTTTTTAAGATACTTATGTTAAGAGTACAAAAGAGGGTTGTTATCTAAACTGAGGGACAAAGATAGCAAGCTCAAGGATACCACATGCTCTTAAGTGACTTGAAGAGGAAAAAGAAAATTCAGATAAATGCCTGCCTTTATCGTTTTCTAGATAATATAGCCCAAAAGACATGTAATACTCTGCATGAATCTGATTCTTTTATATAATACCTTTGTATAGAAAGAGGAATGAAATGTTAAACAAGCTTAAAACGACCTGTTGTTCTGAAGAGCTCAGTGCTGCAGAGAGCTCTCTCTCTTGGAGACTCCTGCCTCCTGAAGCAGGTTCCTTGGAATACTGGGAACTTAGGGAATTATCCTATGGCGTTTGTACGAGAGAAGCTCTTCTGGCATCATACAAATGTTGTGTCAAGCTCCTGTTCAATTTTGATCTGGAAATCAAGATTAAAAGACTTTGTCACTAGCAGATGACAGCTAGGGTGATATCCCTGAGTATTCTGGTTAAGCTGTCTTTAGTAAACATAGTTAGTAGATTTTCAAAGGGAACAAATGCATTAAAGAATTAAAAACTGTCCTTTGTTGACCCAGTCTCAAAAGCCATATTTTTTTTATAATCGTGAGTACATTATTTCAGTTCTCTGTCTTCTCGGTCTAAGACTTTCTCTTACTGCATTAGCAAGTTTTCAAAGTATAGTGTTATGGAAGCCAACTTGCCTTACCTGTGCTTCGTGCCAAAGATGAGCCCTTTGACAGTGTTAACCAGAAGGCTGTGAGCTTAGCTTGTGCCCACCAGTATTCTTGCCGCTCACGCTTCCCTACAAGCTGAAATGTATTAGTGGATAATGCTAGTGTGACGGTTATGTTGACTGTTTATGGTACCTTGTGTAAAGTGACATCAGTCTCACAAGATGATGCACTTGCAAAACGCCTTCAGGTATCATTTCAGAAAAAAAGCATTTTGAAAATACCTGCTGCTCAGTGTGCAGGCTGAGGTTTTGAAAGGTCAGCACAGGTCATACAGAAGATAATAGGTTCTATTAATTTCGACACAGACAAAATCAGGAAACCCTATTTGGCAGTGTTGTTTTTGAAGTATTTATGCAAACTTAAAAGATGAAACAAACTCTTCCAGAAACAGATAAATTCCTTTTGCTTACTACTCCTAGCAAAATACTATTTTTCAGTAGCTCATAGCTTGTAACCCTTCTTATATAATGATTTAGGCAAGTGATTTAGACAATTTCCTGCTG